TTCAAGTCGACGAAGCACATGTAGAGCGGTATTTTCTTTCTCCGCCCCAGCTCCTGGAGGCGGCGCACGACGAACAGCATGTCGACGGTGGATCGCCCGGGTCGAAATCCGCACTGTTCCTCCGGGAGGATGTTGTTGGCTTCGCAGAAGGCGCTTAGACGGTTGGTGATGATCTTGTTTGGGACCTTGCCTACGTGAGATAGTAGCGAAATCCCCCTGTAGTTGTTACAGTTGGACCGGTCACCCTTCTTGTACAGCACCTTGATGGTTGCATCCTTCCACTCTCGCGGAATATCTCCTCCGTTCCACACCTTGACGAGGATGGTATGGAGGTGTCCCAGGACGAAGGGTTCGTCGTCATCGATCTTGAGCAACTCGGCAGGGAGGGAGTCATGGCCGGGTGCCTTCCAGTTCTTGAGGCCTTTCGTTGCCCGTGCCACCTCCTCGAGTTCTGGCACATCTCCCAACCGTTGAGTGTCACGTGTCGCTTTCCGCCGCGTCACTCGTTCGATTATGTGTGGGTTCAGGGTGGGGGATTTGGCGTTGAGAAGGGTGCTGAAGAATCTCGCTCACCGCTGGAGGATGTCGTCCCTGTTCCGGAGCAACACGCCGTTCTCATCCGCGACGAACTGCTGTCCCCCCGCTTGTCTCCCGCTGAGGCCCACTGATCTCTTGAGGTGTTGGTACAGTCCTCGCATGTCGCGATCTTTGTAGATTTCTTCGAGCTCAGTCACATATCCGTCCAGGTGGGCATAAATGCCCGTTTCGACTGCTGTAGCCACTCCCTTACACGCTGGTTTGAGAACCCTCCACGCCGCTGAGCTCCTGTTGTCCCTTATCGCCCGGCGCGCTTCCCGACATTTGGTAAGGGCCTGGTCCAGCGCTGCTCGCTTCTCTGGGGTCTCACACCACTCCTGCGTGCGGCGTCTCCGCGGTTCCTCCCCCAGGGTCGTCCGCGCTGCGTCGAGGAGAGCATTGGTAAAGTCGGTTGCCAATTCCGCGGCGGTGGTCGTTCGCTCGTCCAGTCGTGTGTCGAGGTTGAGGAGGAACCGATCAGTCACCGCACACCGTCCTGCTTCGAACCGCATTTCCAGTCGGTTGAGTTGCTTCTGTTTCGGTTTAGTCCGGACTGCACGGTTGTGGGCAAGCCTGCCACCGAGGTTGACGGTGGCTACTACCATATTGTGGTCTGAGTCTGCTTTGACTGGGCGAACCGGCTGGGGGATGACGATCACGTTAGATACTCGGCCGTGATGTGCCTGCCTTGTCAGGATGTAGTCAAGGCGCTTGCAATCGTTTCCCGACACACCGTTGTCTGTGTGCCATATTCCGCCCTTGCGTGTCTCAAAGAACGTGTTCGTGAGAGATAGCCTGTTTTCCGTTGCGAAGTTCAAAAGTAGCATGCCATTGTCGTTGAGCTCATCACGCCCGTACATTCTTGNTGTGTGCCATATTCCGCCCTTGCGTGTCTCAAAGAACGTGTTCGTGAGAGATAGCCTGTTTTCCGTTGCGAAGTTCAAAAGTAGCATGCCATTGTCGTTGAGCTCATCACGCCCGTACATTCTTGTTACCCTTCCGTCCCTTCCGTCCAACCTATCTCCCGTCCGCGCGTTGGCGTCCAGTAGGACATACACACATTCTTTGGAAGGGATCCCCCGCACGAGACTGTCAAGTTTCCCCCAGAACACGCGCTTGCTGTCGGCGGTTGAAGATTCGGTTGGAGCATACGCGGCTACGAAGTTGACTGCTCCACGGTGGCCTGCCAACAGAAACCTCATGGCCATAAGGCGTTCGTCGATAAACTCCGTAGTGAACGTGGATGTCTTGCACAGTGACTCTTTGGCGGCTATCCCCACACCATGGACTCCACCAGTCTCCGTGCCACAGCAGAACACCCCAAAACCCGCTGCTGCAAATTCCGTTCGACCTGCCCTCCGTGTCTCCTGCATTCCTACCACCGATACGTCTTGTCTCGCTGCCTCGTGTCGAACGTTGTAGGCTCGCCCGTATCGATTGGCCTCTGCGACCATTCAAAAACATGCGTCCTGCGGCCAGCCGAAGGGGGTCCCGAGGGAGGCCCCTCTGTCGCCGAAGGTGGCCTCACCGAATCCAAAACGCTAATCAAGTGATCGGCACCCTGAACGATACCTCAAATCGCTCACATGTGGCATGTCGTTGGGCGCCGCTTGTCACAAAAACCTTTCCGTACTGCTGGAAAATAGTTTGCGCGACGCTGTGCCTGATTCTCCAGGCCTGGTATTTCGAAAAGTTTGTTCGTGACGAGGACTGTGTCATCCTTGCGAAGGCAACTGCGGTAGTACTCATCATATGTTTTGAGAAGCTAGAAGTAAGTGAAGAGTACAGAACGGGCCTGGCAATAAGAAAAACTATTTAGACTACTCTATTATATAAAATAGACTAGATATGAGACTGTTGTCTCCAGGCTCGCGTGTGAGCAAGTTCCCTTAGGGATGGGTGGTGTGGATACACACCGGATCAACCTCTGGTGGAGAGGCTGATGTACGGAACGTTGAGTTGAGTGTGTGTGGCAGGTGGGGATTAACCTTGGGTTGAAGAAAGGTTCAGCATCCAACCTGCCCTGACTCTATCTGTGGTAACACCCCGAAGGTAGTTCTCCGACAGGTCATCTGACGTCACAATCTACGACAGTCTGAGGTGGCATTCACATCACCCCCCTATCTTCAATCTCGGGGCCTGAATCCGGATTGAAAGATACAAGAATGACATAAATACCTCAGATTGTATGAAATTGTGAAGTACTGATGAAAAACATGAGTTAAATGACTTGGGCCGTAACGTACGGCGACTGCCATCATTCGACGAACGCTTTGTGTTTTGTAGTTAAGAAATTTGGAACATGTCACCAACATATCTCATCCGAGCATTAATCGTACATAGCGCAGTCGCCACCACAGCTTGCACGAGAGCAATTAATTAGGGAATTTTGGCATTCCCCTTCGACGAACCGATAACCACACAGATGACGAAAGGTGTACGGAACATGTCACTTCAGTCCGCCTCGGCGCTGTAGGCAACATGTGATCTACCGTACGACGAACGACGTGTGTGTGTACAGGAAAAACATCACTCCGGTGCGCGTCTTGCCCCGATAGTGTAAAAAAACTGTACAGTAGTACCTTGAGACAACGCCGTGAACTGCTTGGTAGTTGCACGTAACGAACATCCAGCAACGAAAAATAATTTGACATTTCACATGTGAAAGACAATTGCTTGCAAGGCTTAAATTTCACAAGTGTCGAATGGCAAATGACGTGGTGGGTCGACCAGCTGGGAAAACGTTGCTCAAGACTAGACTAGACTATCTATGTTAGCAAAAAAGCTCGAAGGTTTGCGAAAAGTAAGAAAAGAGGGATGAGAAACTCAGCTCGATCTCGGCCGCGACATAAGAACGTTCGAACAAGAAACGTGATCGTGCGATATCCCGATACACAAGAAACAACGGAGAGCTGGGGAAGTGTGTCCAACAAGAAACATCCCATTGCTGCTGCAGCTCCCACCACCACCTAGATTTGCTATTTAGCTCAGCATGAAACGTTTTGGTACAGCAGGGGGGGAGAGTGGATATTTTCGCGTCGCCCCCCGGGCCCCCGCGCCGCCGCGGGCTGCGCTACTCACTGCTGCTGTACTGCTGTGCTGCCACAAATAACGGGAGTCAGGATGTTCAGGAGGGCGACAACCCCAATTAATGTTCGTCACCACCGAGCTGTCGGTCTATTGACTAATGCTGCATGAAGAGGCTTGATGTGTCGACGGTTTCCTCGCCGGAAAAAAAGAAAAAATGAAAGCAGCAGGATTGCTGTTGTTGTTGTTGTTGTTGTTGTTGTTGTTGTCTTCACATTAAAAACCTTTCCGATCTCTCTCTACCCAGTACCTTCGTATGTCCGTACTGTTCCAACACTCGACGCGGTCGATTCCCGTGGTCGCAGGCTAACTTGCCCTAAAAAGGTGCACTCAAATAAAATGGCCCCGAGGGGTCCGCAATTCAAAAGAAATCAACGACCCTTTCTTGTTGTATTTCTATTTTCTTGCAAACACTCGGGCTAACGTGATACCCCGGTTCTTGCCTTGTTTCCCATAGAGTTGTCTTCTTGTCTCGGAGCGGTGTGGCCCTCCATCTCTGGACTCTCTCCTTTCCTCTCTCTGGGGCATACCCCCACGGCGTGCGGCCACTCCGCTACCCTCACCGTACTCTCTGCTGCTGCATAGCCCCGGTGTCCAAGCCGGCGCGTTAGGATCCAGTCTCATTTTGCAGCTACCAAAGCTGGCGGCTCAGGAGCTACCCCGATCTCACGACAGCAGTAACTCCCAACCGCCAAACTCAATATCCCCCTCTAAACAGTGCTGGGGACCGTATATCCGTCTTTCTTTGCTGGGTGGTCTTTCGAGGTCTAGATCCAATTGCGGAACCTCGGCCTACCCCAGGGACGGGGGGGGCAGGCCGGGGATTGTTCGACAGCCCAAAGCCCGTCTTAAGAATTGACCGTCTTCGGCTGGTCCTTCGGGCGAAAATAAGAAATCGAGGCTCGACCCGAACTTGACGTTTCTCATCTCCGGGCCCGTTCTGTAACCATGCCACGAACGTGGGATCTTATTCAGGGGTATCTTCAGACGTATCTTTGGCAAGTTGGAATAGTTCTCCGTGTTCCGAGATCGATGCGTCCTTTCGTCCTTTCGGCGGCGAATTTGGTGCGAACTGGTGTTTGCGTGCAGGCGTACGTTGATTCTATGGTGCGAATGGTGCATTGCATTGCTTGTCTACGAGGACGACATAGTCAACGACTTCAACCATCTCTTTATTCCTGTCAACCGGTTCAGCCGGCGTGCTTGGTTGGCCGTGCTGGTCCAGCAGCACCACGCTTGGGACTCATCAACAGAGTTTTGTTTGTCACCATCGACATCCACCCGAACAACAATGAAGAATTTGGCTGGACCATCACGCACCACGACAGTCCCCCTCCCCTGCCCACCACCAGCCCCCAATATTCATTGGCACAGACCACGCGGGCACAAGCCTTTTTCAGAGCCATCTATGAAGAATTTGGCTTGACCACCACGGCACCACGGGGCAGTCCACCCGCCCAACACCAGCCCCCCCAATCATTTATTTCGCATAGGTCAGCAGCAGTCCTATGTTTTCATTCTTCGAAAGATCTAAAGCGTTAGACTGAACTGCTGTTGTAGTTAATAGTTTGGAACCAGGGGATCCTTGAGAGCTTGACCTTCATCTGCCTTCATCACGTGTATGGAAGGCCTACAAACTAACTCTAACTGAGAGGCTACGCTTCTCATTCCGTGGGAGAGACAATTACGGAGAAGAAGTATTCCAAATAGTTCAGACCAGCACTGCTATTTATTTCCGCTCTGTTCGCTGTGTTCCTTTTTTTTTTTGTCCGTCGTCAAAAACCATTATTTTGATTGTCCGCCTTCGACAGACCAGCCACAAGCAGGATCCTTCTCATTTCAGACTGAGTACTACTGTGTTAGGCGGCCCGATGTAGTGGCAACGTCAGGTACGGTGTTGTCGAGATCTCTTGTCGCAATCTAAACATGTACATGAAACCGATGTCGAACATTGTTGTAGAGTGGCACTGCCCGGAATATTGTAGTGACATGCCACCACATAATCCGGCCACCCACTGCTGCTGAACCGCCGTTTGGCGCAAACAAGCAGGTAGCTGTGGTCCCCAGATCATCGTTCGCATCGGGTACGCACATACTCGTTCTGTTTTCCTCTTCTCGCCCAGCAGGCATTTTTCACCTGCCCGCTTGATTTCCACCCACGGGCCGGTTGTGTACAGCCGTGTCCTCTCACACCCTCTCCGTCCCCACAGCCACCAACAACACAGCCGGACGAAACAACAGGAAAACTCTTCTTCTCCCAAGGTGTGTAGTAGGTACATAATGTAAGGGATTTGATGTTGCAGCCTACGAAGAGTGGTGGTGTGTGGTAGTAGTGTGTGCATATCAACGAAAACGGCGGCAGTCCGCAGTAGTATCGTGGCCTATGCTGACCTCGGGGAACGATGGACGCAAGCTTGCATGTAAGTGTGTACGGCGAACATTCAACGACGCCGATAGACTACCGTAAGGGTGCGGGTCTCCGCACAGGGGTGCTAGCGTTTTTCAAAGCTTAACCACTCGACCACTAGGAAGGCAACACTGCCTAAAAGGACGGTTTTGGAAGTATCTCGTCGGGGTCTGTCCTTAGACGTGTTGTTTGGTCGGCGCACCCTCCTAGTTCCGGAGTAAGAAAACTCGCTAACCAACACCCCTGTGCGGAGACCCGCTTCCTTACGGAACGCTATGGACTACTGCTGTGCAGTCGCAGCAAGATGTTGAGGGAAGGTAGGGAAGTCTTGTTTTGTGGTGGCGAATCGCCTGTATTCGTTATATAGACTATATGCACCATCCATGATCGCAGCAGCCGTGAAAATGTGACCTCTTTTTTGTCCTGGTTGCTTTTGTACAGACAGCACTTCAGACAGCAGTATGCTGTAGTCGGCAATCTTCCGTTTTGGTATAGAGTGGGACAGGGAGGGGGTGATGCTACTGTAGTCGAACGGTGGGACGGACGTGCAGTTCAGTTTTTGGGCACGCATACGGTGCTGCAGGGATTTTTAGGTGTACCTCTTCGGGCTCTTGGATACCTTGTTCTCGTTACATATGTGCGTGTTCTTTAGATCCTCAGATGGCTCTAGCACTTTCGTGACCTCGGGCTGGGTCTTTTGCTAGATTTTGGCATTTAGCAACTGACATACGGTTTAATGTGAAGACAACAACAACAACAATTGTACACCATTCATTCGTCACTCTTCTTATGAAACACCCAACATTGCAAAGAAGGGCAAGGATCCTCCTCGTTGTTCTTGCACGGAGAGACGATTGATGATGTGTCTCCGCACCTCCAACGTCAGAATTCTTTCTGTACCAAAAAGCCAAAAACCGACACGAAACGGGGTTGCACAGCCAACACGCTGTAGCTACCACATGGTGTAACGCCCGGACATGAGTCAGCTGGGCCGCTGCGTTTGGGGGTCTACAGTAGACCACAGCAGTACAAGAAATGCATCAATCAGGAACGGCAAAGGGGCGGAGAGCATGTATGCATTTTGTATGCTGTGTGTGTGTTTTCGTCCTATTTAATATGGTGACAGTCCCCCCATTTTTCGTGGTGAGACGTGTACTACACTCTTTCAGCGTATGTAGAGTACTGCCCTTTCAGAGTATTTTTTCGTCCAACTACAACCATGCAGGGTCACACTGGAGGGGATAAACACCAGGGCTCTTTTCTTCCTTTTATTTCTTTTCATGGCCCACTTTCCTTCTGCGGTGCGTGCTGAATTTTATTTTTATCGCGAGAAGGATCCAGTCCTCCAGCCGTCCCTTTCTTTCCCTCGTCAACGGTGCTAACGTCGAAGTTTGGTACTCACGAGAGCTTTTTAGCTATATTTCGCTTTCACCCGCAAATTTCGTAAATTTTTCACCCCATGGGGATTCGAACTCATGACCTCTGCGACTACTAGCGGATTACGAGGATACCACTAGACCACCGGGGCGACCGGTTATTATGTAGGAGGCTCTTCCAGGAATGAATCCACCGTCTAGATAGTATGGTTCGCATTTCTGTCCGCGCGTGGGTACTGTAGGAACGCCGGCGGCGCCAGCGCCAGCAGGGTAGCACTGGTGGCAGTTCGTATAGACTCAGCCCTTGCTGTTTGTGATGGTTGGCGTCCCTCGCAGAGAGGTGGAGCATCAAGCAAGTTGTTGGTGTTCGAGGTGATCGTTTTCTGTTCGCTACACGGGCAAATCCTGCTTGAAGTTTTCCCTCTGCTTCAGACTGCGCTGCACACTTAATTATTGCAGTGCTCTATCCCCAATGAACTTAGTGACAATATTAATACCCGGCAAGACTCCGCCCTTGCTGCTTCTGATGGTTGGCCCACTCCCAAAACTGTGGAGCATCAAGCAAGTTGTCGGTGTTCGAGGTGATCGTTGTCTGTTCGCTACACGGGCAAATCCTGCTTGCAAATTTTCCACTGCTTCATACTGCGCTGCACACTTATTATTGCAGTGCTCTATGCCCCATGAATTTAGTGACAAATAAATATTCGGCAAAAAAAAATGTCTCGGAGGAACCACCACGCCGAACTGGTCGATATCAGCCGTACAATATCTCGTTCTTATGGGCAAACTGGCAGAAATGTATCGTCCCGATTCCTAGTCCCTCGTGCGAAGTAGTACATAGAAGTATATTGCATACATTTTTCCAAATGGCCCTGGGGCCCCGCAATTGTTTTTGGAAATATCCTCTCAGCGTGTCTCAGCGTCTCAGCACAGAAACTCTCGGCGACAGAAAAAACACAAGAATGGGCCGTGTCTTGCCGCAACTTGGACTTTTCGCTAGGCGATAAAAAAATGCTGGCCGAAAAAAAACTACTGATCCTGTTTTCTCCACGAATTATGACCGCCCCCCCCCTGTTTTTGTGTGTCGGGGCCCCCGATTGGCCTAGCAGTATCGGGGGGTATCGAATATCCAGGGTAGTCCTCGGTACCAGTTTTTTTGACGAACACAAAACGAGACGGTTTGCAAAATGACGGTAGTTGTTCGGCGGTTTGACGGTGCTTCGTCTTTTGACGGTGCCACTTTTGGCGGTTGACGGTACCGCCATATTTGCACTTTTTCGGCGATTTTGCAAAATGGCAGTACTTTTTTACGGTTGGCGGTACTTCGTTTTTTATACGGTACTTTCTTGACGGTACCGCAGTATGACGTTACTTTTTTGACGGTACCGCAATGTGACGGTACCACTTTTGGTGGTTGACGGTACTCCGTCATTTGACGGTACCAGTTCGACGGTTTCGCAAATGACGGTAATGACGGTGCTTTTGGCGGATGAGGGTATTTCCTTCAAAGAGCACGCCATCGAGATATGATCAGATCAAATTGAGAAACTGAAAAACTGAGCAGCCACGCGGAGACATGCAACACGAAAAAAAAACAGACGGACAGATCGATGCGATCGAATACCAGGAACAACGTGCCAAGACAAGGCGTACTCTTGTACTCTCGAAGAAAAAAAAAACAAAAATAGCAGAAAAGTGTGACTTGCACAGTTTTGCCGTTGCCAGCGTCGCCGAGGCTTGAGTCTCCGCTGGGCTTTGCGATACTTGCACGCTCTTAGCCACCGGTTCACTTGCATTCCCACCCAACGAATCGCCAGCAGCATCAGCACCCTCGATGCCGGAATTCCCCTGTACAGCTGCCATCTTTCTGGTTTTGCTGGACCGCACACACTCTGGGACCGCGTGTGTGCGTGTGTGTGTGGCTGCAGGCCGCGGTCTTGCGACCATCAACGCCAAAGGCCACAAAGCAGAAAACAGGTTTTGCCGAAAAGCAACAAACCAGCTCGATAGAACCAAACGAAGTCAAACAAAAAAAAGCAGAAAAATAAAGATAAATTTAAATACAATAGTGTGCCATAATAGAACACCCGACAACCCGAGTTGCCCTAAATCTTCCGTCTACAACTTCCTAACATAACATACACAGATAGATACACAAGATGGCTACCAAACTGCCTTGTTGAGCCTGTTAACCACAGGGGAGATATCGTTGTATGCTGTCTGGGAAACCGTAGACATACAGGTAGCCTTTCGCTCACGCTATGGATTCATTGCTAATCTATCTTAGACTTCTTTCTATAGATAGATAGAGATGGATTTGTTGTGTGATACTAAGAAAAAAAAATACAGGATGCCGGAGTTGAACTGCAGTTCCTTTCTCGACACGTCAAGAAATAGAAAAATGACCAGCAAATGATGCTGCCGGAATCCTCTCGATACTTTTCGGCGGTATCGCAGTATATCGGTACCTTCTTCGGCGGTTGACGGCACTTGTTTTTTTTACGGTATTTTTTTGACGGTACCGCAGGATGACGTTACTTTTTTGACGGTACCGCAATGTGACGGTACCACTTTTGGCGGTTGACGGTACACTGTTATTTGACGGTACATTTTCGGCGGTTTTGCAAAATGACGGTGCTTCATTGGCGGTTGACGGTACTTCGTTCTTTTGACGGTACCACTTTTGGCGATTCACGGTATTGCGAAATAATACGGTATTCCCGCGGAGTACCGGGACAGACGTACACGACGGGAGAAAAACTCGGGAGTTTTCCCGAAGACTACCCTGCAAATATCGGCTTGCAAACCGGCAATAACACCGATACTGAGTATCGCCGATATATATGTCAGTTTTGAATCGATATCCGATGCCCAATATCCAACACTGGTCTGAGCACAGAATCTCCCGGGGCCAGAAGAAAACGAAAGAAAAAGATACCATGAGGATTGTCATTTGTTTTATTTCAAGTTGAAGAGATATTTTTACGATGTAAGTGACAGTAGAAATAAGTCCTACACATGTTGTTGTAGTCCGTATTGGTTTGATATTCATGTAGAGTATGAGACGTTCTGAGGTACATCTGCAATTAATTGTCGGAAGGCAAAAAAAAAAAGAAAAGGGCCGCATCTTTGTCTTTTGCGAGAAAAGGGGATAAGGATGCTGGCAAAAAAGCATTGAAATTATTTTCTCGCTGGAGAGAGACGAGTTCTGCATGGAAACACGTAAAGCACACCGCGAACGCTACTTCTATACGCTGCAATGTCTTCAACGTTGTTGTAGACACAAACGCACGATGAACCAAACACACCCTCATGCCACTGTTGCGCCGCATGTTAAGTTTTTTTTCGCCGAAAGGAGACAATTACTGTACTGCCTTGAAATATATACTTCGTACTTCGTACGACCTCAACTGCCCTTTTGCGCTGTAGAATCCCTTCTACGTTGGTTGATAACACCTACTGCCTGGATAATACCTCACATGCCAGGGGTCCTCCATATGGAAATTATTGAAACCCCGAGATTGCGTGTCAATCTAGGTTCGCGGGTGGGGGAGGAAGCGTGATATGTCGCCGGGGGGACGTTTTGACCAAATCCTCGGGGCTTCGACATGATTTCGCGCGCTATTTTCAGCGCGCGGACACGCACGCCGCCGGGATTTCACGCAGAGCTGGTGGAAATAATGAAACGCCCCCAGGCTACGCGTCAATCTTGGTCACGGTGGGCGGAGGATATAGTATGTGCCCATGCTAGAGCCTACACTATGCCGAGTATTTATGAGTTTTAGAATGCGGCACGAAAGCCTGTACAAGTATAATACGTATAATATTGGCTATACTATGGACACACTAGTTCCTATACACTAGACTGCGGCAAGTGAGCCGCGGCACGGGGGGGTGCACAAAGTCGTGCATGCCGTAGTCGTTAGACCATTGACCTCGCATCCTACGAAGCGAGGACGGAGCACGCCGCCGGGGTCTCACCCGACCAGGCTCTCACATCACCAAGCGCGAAGCGCCGTGAGATATTCGGCGAGTCGCATGAAGGGTGCGCTGCATCCTGCTAAGGGTGTTCGGCATCTTGTGCTTACTTCCTTGCGTACGGATGACAGCTGCGTATGACTTATTGTATTTTTTTATGCTTTCAATTCCTGAGACAGTTGTAAGGGCTGTGTAACTGCCCGAAATCTGATGAGTTCGCTCCGCGGGTGCCTCCCGGATTGGCGCTGCGCGGGCGCCGCCCTCCGGGGGCCCTGTCAAGGGTGCCGTGTATTACATGTATGCGTGTGTGGTGGACTGTAGTAGCACGTGTGGTGGAGTGGTAGACCGGATCGGCGTGCCCAGAAGCAAACTAGGCGATTGTGGTCGTTTAGGCAGCGCTTTACTCTGGGAGTTTAGTTCGATTCACGGAGTAATAAGATATTCCACCAAAGGAAAAGATGCCGTTTCAGCAACTTAGCCACTCTTATAATACTAAGCGAATTTCACGCACATGCCATCAAACGCATACACAGTCGAGACAACCGAGAAATAAATCGCGCAACCAACATGTTGCAAAGCCTCGACCACCTTCCAGACCATGACGAGAAACTTCATTGAAGACGGGCTACAACTGCAGCACAGCAACAAAGGACAAGAGTTTTACTGCTACCTTACCGCAGAGTCGGGCCTGTATAAGCATGCGTTGCCTACATCTACGAGAAGTCCCTGGTGTCTGCCTGCCATGCTGGTTTAGAAACGTATGTATGCCGAAAGGAACGACATTTTTGCCTTGCGCAAAAAGCTGGAAAGCTGCCAGCTTCTTCTACGTTGCCAAGAGCTACAGCTCAGCATACGGTGGCGGTCCCTCCCCCCCGTGCGCCCGCCCCGTGTCATCGTCGCCGTCGTCATTCTCGAATAGCTCTAGCCCGTCGTCAGAAGGGTTGGCCTCTTCCACGAAGATGCTGTCGACTTTCTCTAACAGCACGTCCTGCGCGCCTTGGTGCAAAGCTTGCTGAACCTCCGTTTGCTCCTCCAGCCCTGCCCAGGCCAGGGTCGCATTGACGACGGCCATGTGGGCAGGCTGGCCCGGGACGATGTCGAGGTTTGCCAGTACCTCGCACAACTCCTGGTCTTGAATGCCGGAATCTCGGGATCTTCTCACCAAGGGTAAGCTGCCTGCGCTTGCTTACTCCGCCACGCGCTGCCTTCTTGGAGGTGGCCGACCTCCCCTGAGGGAAAGTGAAGCCGGTCGCTTTGCGCTTACCGGCGCTTCATGAACTGCCGGCAGCCGGTATCTTGGTGGCGCATGACCCCTCGTCAACTCTCTCCGCGTTCTCCACATTGCCACATCCTTCGTGAAGCCGGCCCCCACAACCTCCGTGACACACATGCCCATCGGAAGGCTCATCAGTCGTGACGTCTGGGGTAAGACAAACTTCTCCAGCCGCGCATTTCATCGTGTATATGCTGCTCTGGTGTTGTTGTGCGTATGCGTGTATGCTGCTGCTGCAAGCTGCTGGTATGGTTGTGTGGGCAGCAGCTGTGAGGAGCCGAGGGAGCCACCCGAAGGTGACAGTCCCACGTCCTCAGTGGGGTAAGCCGGCTATAAAGGAGCCGATCTCTTCAAAAGAGGGTAACCCTCTTATAGCTGGTCGCGCCCATGCCAACCGATTTTGACCCTCTTATAACGGAACCCCCTCTTACTCGGTACCCTATTGTATCGGAACCACGACTTTACACCATTAAGGCACTCGGGTAATCCGCGCCATCTCCGTCGCATCTCTCTACAAAACCAGTGACGTCATCACACCCACCTAACCCAATATTTAGGAAAAAAACGGAAAATAATCGACAACACAAGAGATGTTGGTCCGTGCGCCACGGTTGATGCCGTCCGCATGCTCCGGTGCCGCTTCTCCGGTACCGCTGTGGCCCTAGCACGACCAAACTCGACCCGCTCCGTTCCGTACACGCTCTCGTTGCTGTCCTTCCCAGTCGGTTTCTCGCTTTCTCCCTCGTTGCACTTTCGGTTCTTGGTCTGAAAATTCTCGCGCCGAAGGGTCAACCAGCTCAATCAGCTCGTCACCACCTGTCCCCTCCTCCTTTGATGGCAACGCCAGGTTACTGAGACAGTACAGCTCCCTCCAGCAAACCTAGGGCCATGTACATAGTGCCCGTTCACCTTTCTGATGGCGTCTTGACTCCGCGCACACAAAGATGAGATGGGCATTGCTGCCTACACCGACGGCCATGGAGTCCCGCGCATCCGCACCTTTGTACTTGACGCACCAGTGCCGACCCAACTCCACCACTACGCACGACTCGCGGCGGGTGCGCCGCAGCAAGGAGGTATCGGTCCCTTGAGGGCGAGTCTAGCCCTGCTCGCTAGGAAGACCCCCCCCTCGCTATGGGTCATGCCTACGCAAAACCTTCCCGAGGCATCGAGGGGAAGAAGGGGAGATGTACTCCTGAACAATACACTATCTGCTCGGGGACGGGCATTATAACGGCAAACAATAAACCTAACGCTAACCATAACCCTAGCCCCCAGCTTACACGATAAGTGCTACGTTGACGCTGGGTGACTAACTTCCAGAGTAGGTTGATGTGCCAATGTCTGAGTTTTAGGTTGTTGTGCCGCTGGTGAGTTCTACGTTGAGTGCCTACGGTTGGCACGTCATGGGCTGCCCATGGGCAGTGCATGAAGTGTCCATCTTGGGTGCACCATGGCTGTTTAGCCAAACTGCCAGTGTTGTGAGACATTGGAATGTTCCGAAGACTACCTGCTCGAGTCAGAAAATAAACGCGAAAATAATCATCCCGACGACCCGAACGGTCCGTGCTTGCTTGTGCGAAGGAACGTTTAGCAACCTCTCTCACACACCTCTACACACGCGCAAGCCAACACTTCATCACACCCCATCCCGTCTTCACTCTGACCACTCGAGTACCAGTATGAGTCATGAAACTTCGCAACGCCCCTATGTATGTTCTTCCCCGCTAGCTAGCGCTCCGTACATGGGTTCCGCCCAAGGGTGGAAGAACAGTGTTCTTCTGAGGTCGACCTATAGGTCATTACGAGTGTCGGAAGAAGTTGAAGTGACCTCCCAGTGAACAAAGAGTAACAACTCCCCACAACCTCCTGCGTCGCGTGCCTTGTATGCGACATGTGCGATGCCCGTGGTTTCTGTCCCCTGATAAAAAGAACGGTCCATCTTCAACCTCAAGGCCAAGATGCATCTAACTTCGCTGGTGCTACCGACGCTTTGCCTGGGGGTGGCCATTGGTGAGAGGGAGAGAGGAAGAGACGAGAACAGCTTTTGACCACCGACGGATCACATTCGTTTTTACGGTGATGATCGGCATTTCAGCTCTAAATGAGCGCGCGGGGGTGCCTTCAGATTGAAACGAGAAAACTTATGTTGCATTCAGAATCTTAATTTGAATTGTTCTGCCTTCACGGATAGATAGATGTGGTTTGTGGGGCGATTTGTGCGGCTTGGCAGGTAGGAAACTCTAGGCAAGCGCGGGACAAGCAGTTCTCACGGTACAACCGATGGAATCATTCGCTTCCTGGCACATGTAAGACTAAACGTAGGGATCCAAACAAATCCCGACGGCCCATTTTCTTAAATGATTTTCACGGTTTTGCTGCGACTAGCACTTTTGTCTCAACATTTTTTTATCAGATTCTTTCTTGCGGAGTACTTTAACATGGTGTCGCTGTCGCTGTTTACCCCACTCCATTTGCGTCAATTCCGCCCAACGGAGTAAATATGGCTTGTACCTCAGACCTCGACCTCAGATACACCGCTGTATCACGCGATTGATTGTAACTGTTTTTCCCCGCTTCCCTGCCTGCAAACAAACGTTTCGGCAAAATAACCCAAAACCCCAAACCGGCCACTGGCAACCGATCCAGGCGTGACAACCGCCCAGACCTGCGACAACGGTCTCGCGGGTGTCTCCAATGGCGATTACTGCTGCACGCTAGGGTGTGGGACGTGCGGAGGTCCGGGCTGCTCTACCAGAGCTGAGGGCTTGGATGGCAACGGTAGGGTTCCCCTACCATTGCGTCCGTCGTTGGGATCTTCATTTTTCAGTTTTGCCCTCGGCACCTATCCCATTTAGGTTCCGTTGTCCGAAAGAGTGAAAAGGAGGCTCGATTGCAGCACCCACGTAGATTCACCCGCCAAGAGGGAACACAATCTTGGGTTTATCTCGCTCGTAACCCCCCACACCTCCTGCCTGTCTCCTGTTTTCCTTTCGTGACGCCCCAGATTGCTGTACTGCGAACATCGCTCAGAACGGGATCTTGTGCGCGGAATCAGGCGCTGCGCCTTGCATCGGTGAGAAGGTGGTTGCGATTATGGGTAGTGAACGTATTTTTCGTATTCATCCAACATTTCTGACCCTCGACCTCCCACCCCCCAAGGTACGCTTGCCGCACGGGACGAAGCCTGGTCCATCACATCTTCTGCACGACTGAAGGCTGACTGCCTCATGTGTAAATGATAGACAAGAGGGCAGGACAGGAACATCTGTTGTCGAACACTTTCCTGTTGTCAGGGCCCATCGCCCAACATCTCCACACCTACTAATGTGCGCGAAACGTCTCCAGAGCACTTCCACTCATTGGGCTAGCTAGGTGTATATCACCCGTTCGGCTAAACGCCGTGCTCCTCCAAAGAGAATTAGCTACCTATTCCTAGGAGGCACACTGGCTCGTCCCCTTGCGTGTTGGCACGTTTAGCTTTCAACGGCACTTAAGTCACTACCTTCTTCAGCACAATGCTTTGGGTTGATACGTGTATTACGTGCCGTGGGTTGCGCGAGGTGCCGCTTGTCCGCGAAAAGCTCCAATAAGCGGCGTCAAAGGTGAGGCCAACTTTTTCAGCTGAAACCTCAAACCCCGATAATCGGTCCAGTGGGTGATGTCTCATGCATCCAGAACAATAATTCGCGAGTGAACCACAGAGCCATCTCTTGCACCCCACAAAATCCTCTCAGGCGACGTCGAAGATGACGTGCCCACCGAAACAGAGACCATGGATCCGTCTTACCTCGGGTGCTACTCTGACCCGGCCGACAGCCGCATGTTCGTACAGGATATCTCCTCTGACGCAATGACCGCGGAGGTGAGCAACCGACCGGGTTGTTTTCGAAGGCTACGGTTTGGATCAAGCGATTGTCTCTGAATCTCATCTCGTCGCGTGTTGCTTAGGCTGGGTGAGCTGGTGACCATAGAAGAGAACCTCCTCGCCTCTGTACACCAGGGAAGAGCAGGTATGACACATTGGCCAGACCGGGTTGCTCATGTGAACATGAAAGAATGACACCGACAGCAATACGTAGAGCAATGCCCACCACCCGTTTGTCTGTCTGGATGCCCTCGACTTGACGCTGCCTCGTGTAACGGTATCTTTAGTCGTGTCGACATTGCGCAAGTTACGGCGAAGATTTTGAAACCGTGAAATCATCACGCCGCCACCGATTCAACACGAA